GTCCTGGGAATTGACTGGCGGTGCAGGGGTTAGGACTCTGAGTTGTCACTGCTGAGGGCCTGTGTTTGATCCCAGGTCGGGGAACTAAAATCCCACAAACCACGTGGGGCTGCCCAGAAAAAAAAAAAAAACCTTTCACATGGCAAAAAAATATCGTAAGTAACATCAAAAGACAAATGATTGGAAGAAAAGTATATCACCTTATAAATCAATATCTTTCACAGTTGAAGGGTTAATATCCCCACTTTATAAGAACTTTTAAAAATCAAGAAGAAAATACCAGATGTCCTATAGAAAAATGGACACAAGACATGATCAGACAGTTTACCAAAAGAGGTATAAAGAAATGAAAAGATGTTCAGCTTCACTCATGATAAGAGAAATGCAAATTATAACTACATTGAGATAACCATTTCTCACTCATCAGCTTGACAAAAATTCAAAAGCTTGACAGTACTCTGTATTAGTGAGGCTGTTAGGAAGTAGACATTTTAATATATTGTTGGTGGGAATGCAGAATGGTAGAAGCCTTTTAGAGGAGAACTGGCCAATATTTAAACTGTATACACATACATACCTATTGACACAGCAAGCACACTTCTAAGAATCTAAAGAGTCACTTGCAATTTTATGAATATACACATGCACATGGTTCTTTTTCACAGCATTATTTACAGTTGCAAAATATTGAAAATGGCTTGAATGTTTAAGCATAGAAGGCTCTATCAACTGCAGCATATACACAATGGAATAAAACACATGTGAGAAAAAGTCTGAGAAAGAAGATATTAATGAAATATTATGGAGAAAATGTTATGAAGTGAAAAGAGAAAAGGGAAAAAAGCATATATAGTTTGTTACCTCTTGTGTCAGAAAGAAGGAAAAATAATGAACATAGTATTTGACTATATATCCTCAGTCTTGGGCAGTTTATTTTTATATGTATGCTAGAATTACAAAGAAATCTTTAACTCTTTAGTAGGTTTGTTTCTTACAGCAGTGTGGTGAAGCAGTTTTGAAACTGTTTTGGATGCATTATAGGATTCAGCAAATGAGTACCTATGTCTATGTTGTTGGGAGCCTGGGTTCTCACTGTGGAAGAGAAGTCATACAAATATGGAATGGGACAAAGCAGGGAAGAATCCCATGAGGATGAGCAGGAATTGGAAGTATTGGTGTGAACTTAAGATTTGGTAAGGTCTGTATACGTGTGTCTGTACATGCTTATGTGCCCATGCATATTTGTATGCATATATATTTGTATATGTGTGTATATACCCATGTATTTTCTATGTCTGTCCACTGAAAAGTCCAAGAAGAATGCTTCAGTAGCAGTGAGCACATCCAGCATCCAGATCTTAGTCTCCAACACCATTTTCCATTAGTGGAAACCCTGGCTTCTTGGCTTACTGACTGCTTCCAGGGTTAGAATAGGGTAAGTACAAGATGATTCTGGATCCAGAAAGTAAAACATGATAAAAATCATGTTGGAGGATAACACTAGGACTGGGGAGACAGTTTGAAGGGATTCCCACCAACTGGTCAAATCTGGGATGATTTGAGCACCAAACTACTTGAGTACACTTATAAACCACTGGGAAGAAAAAGAGAAACTTACAAGTCAATAAAAATAAATATATAAGTCAATGAAGTCTATTGCTTACAGTAGAATGTCAATAGCAACTGGTAACTTCACTTTTTCCTACTCATATCAACAGCTTACACAATCATAGTACATTTATTAAAGCTAAGAAAGTAACCTTGGGACATCACTATTAGGAACTGCACATTGTATTCAGATTTTCCACTATTGTCCTTTTTATGATCTAGGATCCAGTCTAGGATGTGACAATGCATTTAGTCATCATGTCTCTTTAGTGTCCTCAAATCTGTGACAGTTTCACTGTTTCTGTCTTTCATTGAAAAGAGCTAGTCAGTTATTTTATTGAATGCCCCTCAATTTGGGACTGTCTGAAGCTTTCTCATTAGACTTGCATCATGGACTTTTTGCAAGAATACCACAGAAATGAAGTGTATCATATCAAGGGGTACATGATGCCAACATGATTTATTCATGGTGATGTTAACCTTGATCACTTGATAAAAGTAGTGTTGGACAGTTTTCTCCACTACAAAATCAACCATTTTTCTCTTTGCATACCCTGTTCATTAAAAGTAATTAATAAGTGTAGCTCATACTCCTAGGGAGGGCAATTAAGCTCTACTTCCTGGATAATGGACCTTGTGATTAGAATAACAACACAGTGACAGTGCTTCTTACACTCCCCCACCCTACACAAGAGAGTGGCCCAGTATTTCCTGGATCCCAAACTAGCAAAAGACAGCCCAAATAGGCTCATTCCTCCCTGGATGGAACGGAAGTCCTGCTGACAACACCAGGTGAGCCCAGCAGCACCAGCAGGTGGTATCAATTAGGACCCCTGATAACAGTAAGTGGTGAAAGGAAGTGCTCTCTTTTCTCACAGGACTGACACTCCCCTCCTCTCAACTAGAGGCACTAGGTAGTTGGCTGGTAGCAGCCAGGGCAATTCTGCCAAAGAAATACCTGTGCCACAAAGTGTTCTTTATCCCCACATACCTGAGACTCCCCATCTACATGCAAGGCACCTGGCAGCTAGGCACCAGCAAGGACATGTCCCCTCTCCCCCACCTTAAATTGCCCAGCCCAGGAAGAGATTCCCCTCCCCTACTGAAAGATACCAGGTGGCCAAGAGACAGTGGGAAGGGGGACCCTGATACATCAGTAGCTCAGCCAGTGAAACTTTTCCTATTTTGGGCCACAGCATCCCCTACTTAGAGACACAAAGAAGCCTGTTTTGGGAGGTTCCATCCACACACTCCAAAAACAACAGCAGGGAAAAGTGGGGGCAAAAGTGTTACCAAATAAACCAAACAGATTCAAAGTATCACAAGAGTTTTGAAAACTGTCATTGGAACAAACACAGCCCACAGCGCTAGGCCAAGATCTGGGGGCCAAACCTAAAGACAGAATGACTTCCTGCTAAAAGGAAAGATTTAAACAAGATGCAGAGTCCCTTAACATCACAGCTAAATGTTAAGGATACAATAGAAAATTACCCATCATGCCAAGAACCAGGAATCACAAATTAGAAGAGACAATCACCTGACACCAATACTGAGATGGCACAGTAAAGCAGCCATCATAAAAATGCTTCAAGCAATTGTAAGTTCTCTTGAAACAAAGGAAAAAGTACAAAGTTTCAACAAAAAGAAGGTATACAACAAGTGAGGGGGAAATGATACAACTAAAAATTAGAAAATTTAAAACTCATTGGAGTGGGTTGATGGTAGAGTTGATATGACAGAAAATGGAATCAGATAATTTGAGGACAGGTCAATAGAACTTAGCAAATCTGAACAACAGAGAGTAAAAGGACTGGGATAAAAAAAGAATCTCTAGGACAAGAATAAAAAAGCTAACATTTATGTTATCAGAGTCCCAGAAAGAGAGAATGGGACTGAAAAACTATTTAAATAAAAAATATCTGAAAACTTCCCATATTTGGCAAAAGACCTAAGTGTGCAGATTCAAGAAACCAAGTGACTATTAAATAAATTCTAATATATTCACACTAAGACATCATATTTAAAATTATGAAAACTAAAAACAAAACAAATACTGAAAGCAGCCAGAAAGAAATGACTCATTACCCATGGGGGAGCAGGGAACACACCAGTTCAGATGACAGCACATACCATATGAAATGTTGGAACTCACAAGGAGATGGCACGATCTTTTTCTTCAAGTGCTGAAAGAAAAGACTGTCAACTGATGAATGTGCATCTGGCAAGACTATTCTTTAGTAATGAAGTGCAATGAACATGTTTTTAGATGAAAGTAAACTGAAAGAATTTGTTGCTAGCAGACCTACCCTTAAACAATGTCTAAAGGAAGTTCTTCAAATGGAAGTAAATGATAAAAGAAGAAATACTGGAGCATTAGGAAGGAGGAAAGAATGAAAAGAACACAAATATGAGTATATACAATAGATTATCCTTCTACCCACAAGATCTTAAAATCACATGTGATAACTGAAGCAAAAATGATAATACTGATACTCTAGAAAATGATATTTTAAAATGGGAAAGATAAAGGGACCTAAATGAAGTAATGTTTTCACACTTAACTACAAGTGGTAATATACCGTGATAAGGCACATATGTATATTGTAATACTCACAGCAACCACTAAGAAAACTACAATGAGATGCACTAAAAACATTACGAATGAATCCAAATAGAATCTTAAATAATAAACCAATAACCCACAGAAAAACAGGAAATAAGTAACAGAAAAATGAGAACCAGAGGAAACACATGTAAAATAAATAATCAAATGGCTAACTTAAGCCCGCACATATCAGTAAGTAACAGTTCTAATTACACCCTTCAAAAGAGAGATTGTGAGGGTGGATTAAAAATTGTAAGTATATGCTGTTTATTAAAGTCAATGACATAGGTAGATTGAAAGCAAAAGAGTGGAAAAACACATATCATGCAATCAATTTTAAAAATCAGGAGTATACTAAAGTAGATTTCACAGCAAAGAAATTTATTAGAGACAACAAGGGACATTACTTAATAATCATGAATCAATCCACAAGGAAGATGTAACATTCCTATAGGTATATGAACCAAATGACAGAATGCATGAAGCAAAACTTGATAGAGTAGATAGAGAAACTGAGAAAATTTATTACTATTGACAATTGTTGGTATTGTTTTATCAACTGACAGAACTACTGGAACAAAAATCAACAAGGATGTAGCAGTCCTGAACTCCATGATCAAACGCCAGGATCTAATTGATACACACACACACACACACACACACACACATATATCATTCCACCCAAGAACAGCAGAATACATGTTTGTTTTTCCATCACCCATGAAACACTCACCAAGACAGTCCATATACTGGGCCATAAAACACACTTCACAGGACTTCCGGCAAGATGGCGGAAGAGTAAGACGCGGAGATCACCTTCCTCCCCACAGATACACCAGAAATACATCTACACGTGGAACAACTCCTACAGAACACCTACTGAACGCTGGCAGAAGACCTCAGACCTCCCAAAAGGCAAGAAACCCCCCACGTACCTGGGTAGGGCAAAAGAAAAAAGAATTAACAGAGACAAAAGGATAGGAATGGGCCCTGCACCAGTGGGAGGGAGCTGTGAAGGAGGAAAGGTTTCCACACACTAGGAAGCCCCTTTGCGGGTGGAGACTGTGGGTGGTGGAGGGGAAAAGCTTCGGAGCTGCGGAAGAGAGCACAGCAACAGGGTTGCGGGGGGCAAAGCGGGGAGATTCCCGCACAGAGGATCGGTGCCGAACGGCACTCACCAGCCCGAGAGGCTTGTCTGTTCCCCCGCCGGGGTGGGCGGGGCTAGGAGCTGAAGCTCGGGCTTTGGTCGAAGCGCAGGGAGAGGACTGGGGCTGGCGGCGTGAACACAGCCTTCAGGGGGTTAGTGCGCCACGGCTGGACGAGAGGGAGTCCGGGGAAAAGTCTGGACCTGCCGAAGAGGCAAGAGACTTTTTCTTCCCTCTTTGTCTCCTGGTGCACGAGGAGAGGGGATTAGGAACGCTGCTTAAAGGAGCTCCACAGACGGACGCGAGCCGCGGCTAAAAGTGTGGACCCCAGAGACGGGCATGAGATGCTAAGGCTGCTGCTGCCGCCACCAAGAAGCCTGTGTGCGAGCACAGGTCACTATCCACACCCCACTTCCAGGGAGCCTGTGCAGCTCGCCACTGCCAGGGTCCCGTGATCCAGGGAAAACTCCCCCGGGAGAACGCACGGCGCGCCTCAGGCTGGTGCAACGTCATGCTGGCCTCTGCCGCCGCAGGCTCGCCCCACACTCCGTGCCCCTCCCTACCCCCGGCCTGAGTGAGCCAGAGCCCCCGAATCAGCGGCTCCTTTAACCCCGTCCTGTATGAGCGAAGAACAGACGCCCTCCAGCGACCTACACGCAGAGGCAGGGCCAAATCCAAAGCTGAGCCCCTGTGAGCTGTGAGAACAAAGAAGAGAAAGGGAAATCTCTCCCAGCAGCCTCAGAAGCAGCGGATTAAAGCTCCACAATCAACTTGATGTACCCTGCATCTGTGGAAAACCGGAATAGACAAGGAATGATCCCAAATTGAGGAGGTGGACTTTGAGAGCAAGATTTATAATTTTTTTCCCCTTTTCCTCTTTTTGTCAGTGTGTATGTGTATGCTTCTGTGTGAGATTTTGTCTGTATAGCTTTGCTTCCACCATTTGTCCAAGGGTTCTATCTGTCCATTTTTTTGTTTTTTTTTAAACTTTTTTCTTAATAATTACTTCTTATTTTAATGACTTTATTTTATTTTACTTTATCTTCATTCTTTCTTTCCTTCCTGCCCACTTTTAGACAATGAATCATCCCAAATTGAGGAGGTGGACTTTGAGAGCAAGATTTACGAATTTTTCCCCTTTTCCTCTTTTTGTGAGTGTGTATGTGTATGCTTCTCTGTGAGATGTTGTCTGTAAAGCTTTGCTTCCACCATTTGTCCCAGGGTTCTATCTGTCTGTTTTTTTTTTTCTCTTAACAATTACTTTTTTATTTTAATAACTTTATTATATTTTATCTTACTTTATTTTATTTTACTTTACTTTATCTTCTTTCTTTCTTTCTTTTTTCCTTGCTTCTCTCCTTCCTTCCTTCCGTCCTCCCTCCCTCCCTCCATTCTTTCTTTCTTTCTTTCCTTCTTTCTTTCTTTCTTTCTTTCTTTCTTTCTTTCTTTCTTTCTACTTCTACTAATTCATTCTTTCTACTTTTGCTCTTTTCTTCTGAGCCGTGTAGATAAAAGGCTCTTGGTGCTCCAGCCAGGAGTCAGGGCTGTGCCTCTGAGGTGGGAGAGCCAACTTCAGGACATTGGTCCACAAGAGACCTCCCAGCTCCACATAATATGAAATGGTGAAAATCTCCCAGAGATCTCCATCTCAACACCAGCACCCAGCTTCACTCAACGACCGGCAAATTACAGTGCTGGACATCCTATGCCAAACAACTAGCAAGACAGGAACACAACCCCACCCATTATCAGAGAGACTGCCTAAAATCATAATAAGTCCACAGACACCCCAAAACACACCACCAGATGTGGACCTGCCCACCAGAGAGACAAGATCCAGCCTCATCCAGCAGAACACAGGCACTAGTCCCCTCCACCAGGAAGCCTACACAACCCACTGAACCAACCTTAGCCACTGGGGACAGACACCAAACACAACGGGAACTATGAACCTGCAGCCTGCAAAAAGGAGACGCCAAACACAGTAAGACAAGCAATTTGAGAAGACAGAAAAACACACAGCAGATGAAGGAGCAAGATAAAAACCCACCAGACCTAAAAAATGAAGAGGAAATAGGCAGTCTACCTGAAAAAGAATTCAGAATAATGATAGTAAAGATGATCCAAAATCTTGGCAATAGAATAGACAAAATGCAAGAAACATTTTAAAAGGAACTAGAAGAACTAAAGATGAAACAAACAATGATGAACAACACAATAAGTGAAATGAAAAAATACTCCAGATGGGATCAATAGCAGAATAACTGAGGCAGAAGAATGGATAAGTGACCTGGAAGATAAAATAGTGAAATAACTACTGCAGAGCAGAATAAAGAAAAAAGAATGAAAAGAACTGAGGACAGTCTCAGAGACCTCTGGGACAACATTAAACGCACCAACATGCGAATTATAGGGGTTCCAGAAGAAGAAGAGAAAAAGAAAGGGACTGAGAAAATATTTGAAGAGATTATAGTTGAAAACTTCCCTAATATGGGAAAGGAAATAGCTAATCAAGTCCAGGAAGCACAGAGAGTCCCATACAGGATAAATCCAAGGAGAAATACGCCAAGACACATACTAATCAAGCTGTCAAAAATTAAATACAAAGAAAACATATTAAAAGTAGCAAAGGAAAAGCAACACATAACACACAAGGGAATCCCCATAAGGTTAACAGCTGATCTTTCAGCAGAAACTCTGCAAGCCAGAAGGGAGTGACAGGACATATTTAAAGTGATGAAGGAGAAAAACCTGCAACCAAGATTACTCTTCCCAGCAAGGATCTCATTCAGATTTGATGGAGAAATGAAGACCTTTACAGACAAGCAAAAGCTGAGAGAGTTCAGCACCACCAAAACAGCTTTACAACAAATGCTAAAGGAACTTCTCTAGGCAAGAAACACAAGAGAAGGAAAAGACCTACAATAACAAACACAAAACAATTAAGAAAATAGTAATAGGAACATACATATTGATAATTACCTTAAATGTAAATGGATTAAATGCTCCCACCAACAGACACAGAGTGGCTGAATGGATACAAAAACAAGACCCATATATATGCTGTCTACAAGAGACCCACTTCAGACCTAGGGACACATACAGAGTTAAAGTGAGGGGATGGCAAAAGATATTCCATGCAAATGGAAATCAAAAGAAAGCTGGAGTAGCAATTCTCATATCAGACAAAATAGACTTTAAAATAAAGATTATTAGAAGAGACAAAGAAGGACACTTCATAATGATCAAGGGATTGATCCAAGAAGAAGATATAACAATTGTAAATATTTCTGCACCCAACATAGGAGCATCTCAATACATAAGGCAAATACTAACAGCCATAAAAGGGGAAATCGACAGTAACACAATCATAGTAGGGGACTTTAACACCCCACTTTCACCAATGGACAGATCATCCAAAATGAAAATAAATAAGGAAACACAAGCTTTAAATGATACATTAAACAAGATGGACTTAATTGATATTTATAGGACATTCCATCCAAAAACAACAGAATACACATTTTTCTCAAGTGCTCATGGAACATTCTCCAGGATAGATCATATCTTGGGTCACAAATCAAGCCTTGTTAAATTTAAGAAAATTGAAATCGTATCAAGTATCTTTTCTGACTACAGCACTATGAGACTAGATATCAATTACAGGTAAAGATCTGTAAAAAATACAAACACATGGAGGCTAAACAATACACTAGTTAATAACGAAGTGATCACTGAAGAAATCAAAGAGGAAATCAAAAAATACCTAGAAACAAATGACAATGGGGACATGACGACCCAAAACCTATGGGATGCGGCAAAAGCAGTTCTAAGTGGGAAGTTTATAGCAATACAATCCTACCTTAAGAAACAGGAAACATCTCAAACAAACAACCTAACCTTGCACCTAAAGCAGTTAGAGAACAAAGAACAAAAAATCCCCAAAGTTAGCAGAAGGAAAGAAATCATAAAGATCAGACCACAAATAAATGAAAAAGAAATGAAGGAAACGATAGCAAAAATCAATAAAACTAAAAGCTGGTTCTTTGAGAAGATAAACAAAAAAGATAAACCATTAGCCAGACTCATCACAAAAAAGAGGGATAAGACTCAAGTCAATAAAATTAGAAATGAAAAAGGGGAAATCACAACTGACACTGCAGAAATACAGAGGATTATAAGCGATTACTACAAACCAATTACAATTACTACAAACCAATTTGCATCTGTGGTTAAATTACTACAATTACTACAAACCAATTACTACAAACCAATATGCCAATTAAATGGACAACCTGAAAGAAATGGACAAATTGTTAGAAAGGTATAACCTTCCAAGAGTGAACCAGGAAGAAATAGAATATATGAACAGAAGAATCACAAGTAATGAAATTGAAACTGTGACTAAAAGTCTTGCAACAAACAAAAGTCCAGGGCCAGATGGCTTCACAGGTGAATTCTATCAAACATTTAGAAAAGAGCTAACACCCATCCTTCTAAAACTCTTCCAAAAAATTTCAGAGGAAGAAAAACTCCCTCACTCATTCTATGAGGCCACCATAACCATGATACCAAAACCAGACAAAGATACTACAAAAAAAAATTACAGACCAGTATCACTGATGAATATTGATGCAAAAATGCTCAACAAAA